ATATTGTAAGCAAAGAGACTTTTTAAAATTGGAGTAGCTTAATAAAAATATCATTTTAATAGTGGTATTTTCTTTGAAAAGTCAGTTTATCATGGAAATGATTTTGGCTCATTAAAATAATATTAAATTACTATACCAATCAATATTTCAGGTCATGACCTCTGGATTTAAAAACTCAAGATAATATTGAATATGATCCAAGAGAAAATGTGATTTGAGACTGGAGACAATTGTGCTTGTAAGTATTGGAAAATTAGATTTTTCTCATGATACAACGTAATAAAAACTAAAATATCAACTCATTAATTACTGAATTATAAAAATTTTGATCCTGTTACATGATTTTTATATCTAAAATTAATGCAATTCTTCCTGTTTTTTGGCTGTATTTTTAAGATCATAATAATAAAAACCCTGATAGAAGAGAAGACATTATTCAGAAGATTGCTACAATTAAAAAGAAAAGCTTCTTCTAGGTGAGTCATTAGCGAGTGGAAGCAATGGCATAGATTCTATGTGCTAGTTAATGGTGTGCTCTCATTGCATGGGATAATGAAAAAACAGGAAAGGTTTTTATAATTCTTATTCTAACACTTGCCCTATAATAAAAATCATGACACATTTCTTAAAATTAAATCTCAGTTCATAGTTCACTGGCAAATATCTATTGATTAGAATGTTTTATTTTCTCAGAAAATTATTATATTTTATGACTACCCCATGGTTATTTGTATTTCATAAAACTACTGCCAGAATAAGGTTGTTGGTAGACCTTAAAGGGGGTAAGCATTGTATACTTGACCCCTGCAATGTTTGTCTCTTAGAATTAAGAAGATAGCAGGGAATTGTTATCTACCACTAGAAATACTTAACAGAAATACTTTTATTTGCTATTGTCCATCTCCTATAACCTTATTTTAATAATGTAGATGACTTAAGGAATCTTTTATTTCCTGATTTTAAAAAATTGAATCCTGCAGTGAAGAATAATTTCTGTTAAATTATAAGGCAATTCTTATGGCTTATGGATGCTAGTTCTTGAGAAATTGGTCCCAATACAATTTTCTCCCTGAAATTGTTGAAGGATCAGAAAATCAAAATGAAATTAATGCTTATAGGAAATAAAGGCAAACTTTATAGTAAAACATGTGGTCAAAATTTGTGCTTTTGTGTTCTTGTGAAACTATTTTGATACTTTAATTATTTTACTCCAATTTTGGTAAAAGTAAAGAAAGATGTTTTCTAATTACTTTAAAAAATCTGTAAGAGGCTTTCTTGCCTCTAAGACAAATTAAATTAAAATGTGTTTAATTAAGCTCTTTAGTACTTTAAGTCACTATGCTCTTCATATTTGTAATATGTAAGACAAAGCCTTAAAGCAAAATTACTGTGTAGTTTTAAAATAAAATTTCCATTGAGAACCACCTTCATTTATTTCATAAATATTGATAAATTATATTTCTTTTATTTTCTATTGCAGTTTGATTTATATTATATAGCTTGTTTCATTTTGGCTTTAATGATGGAGAAGAAGTGCATCCTGTGTTTTCTGTTTCTCTTGCCTTTTTTTATGGTAAGCACAAATTCCCCTAATGTATCTCCCTATCTCTGATTCTTTCTGTTTTAACTTCCAGTATATCCATAATTGATGAAGGTAATAACACAAAATTACGTGTAGTGATTTGATGCATAGATTACATACCTTTTAATATCTAATCAACATGGCAATAGTTTATTTCCCTTCAGTACACATTTTTAGGCTTTTGTCTTACAACAAGCAGTTGAGGGGTGTAAAAGAGAGGAAGGAAAATGGATACAAATATGCAGACACCAGAGGAAAGTAACAGAGACTGAAAAAAAAAATGGATTGGCTCGATACTACAGTCATAAATAATAGATGAAATATTTTCAACTGTTGATTCTGAATTAGAGCTATTAAAACAGTGATTCCAACCTGTTGATTTTTCTCCCATTCTGCCAACTAACTGACTCATAGCGATTGAAAAGCAATTCAGAACCACGCACTGTTTTAAATTAATATCCTCATCCATTCATTCAGATAAGTATTAGGTGTCCGAGAGCCACTGATGCTAAGTTTGAGGCAGACATGGAAGTGAGGTGTGCACTTCTGTGTTCCTCTGCCTGCATGTGCAGGGAGAGGATGTGGGGCTGGAGGTGGAGGCTAGACTAAGATGACTAAAAACAACCACTATACTGGAGGGGCTGTGTGCCTTATACATTTAACTTTATTGTTATTTACAGAATTATTTTGTTCCTGGTTTTCTCTGTCTCTTTATACATTTACTTTTATTTTTATTTACAGAAATAGTTTTGTTCCTGTTTTTCTCTGTCTTACATGAAAACAGTGACTGTACTCTTATCTCATTATATGTAAGAGAAACTGAGAGACATAATCTCATTTAGTTCTGTGCCAGCAAATAGTTTTCTGTGGTGTTTCCAAGTAAACCACAGATTTTCAAACAAAGAAACTCAAGAAAAATATAGAAAACCTAAACAGGGCGGGGAGCAAGACTACATTCCTGTCAGCATTTGTATTGAAAACATTCTCAAGTCTAGGAACAGTCCAAAATCTACACTTCTTAGATGTTATCTTAGGTAAACAGACTAAAATTCAAGAAATAGGACTCCTGTTCCTACAGCTCCCACCCTCCTCTGAGCATGCCAATGAGCTGCACAGGCCAAAGCTGCTTCCCTGCAGGTACTTCTGTAACAGATGACCAGTCTGATTACTGTAATTTAAGGAATTGTGACCGGTTCTCTTGAATTCATTCAGACAATGTGCAAATGTGAGTTTTTAGGTAAGAATAAAAATGATATTGAGTTTATGCAATTCT